TTCCACCCAAAGCAGATAAGAGGTGGTCACGAATGCCGAATAAAAATAGAATGGAAATGGCTGATGTGCAGTGGGGCTAAAAGCGTTAAAACAGCAGTGCAGTCACAATGAAAATCAATCTGGATAGTTTTTTTTTGCTGCATTGACTGGCTGAGAGGAGACTGACCCTGTTTGTCTTGTGTGATAGTGTTTGGAGCTTTTTGTGTGCAGAGCCAAAGTGCTTTCAATATCCGAACGGTTACACATCAAAACACAGCCAGAAGAGAAAAATAGACTAATAGACATTGATAATTGTTGGTAAGTGGCCCATGGATAAACAGATAAAGCGTTCCAGTACAGCGTGAACACCTAACACTTTATTTATTAAAATCACTGCCACGCTTGGATTTTTTTTTGGGGGGGGGGATCCTTTTGATGTTGGCCGAGCGAACGAGCATCAAATCGTGGGGGTTTCAGATGGGAGAGCGAACTGCGCTTTGGAGAGAGATGGGACTTGCAGCAAGACAGCAAGTCAAGTGTGAAGGCATCGGCAGATTGTTGGTGGGTGGTGCTCTGAGTTAATCCCATTGTAACCAGGGGGTTGGAAACATGTTTGTAACTAGGAGCTGGAAACATTTTGGTGACACGAAAAGGAATAGAGTCAACCCCTCTGTGCTGGACTCTCTGTAGCCTGGTTTCACAGCGGTCTCTTAGGATAGTGGTGAGAGCGCTCGCCTCACAAGCAAGAGGACCCGGGTTCGTTCCCGAGCGGGGCAAAACCTTAGACAAGTCTCCTTTCTCCGCACGCCTCTGTTTACCTAGCAGTAAGTACAAACCTGGAGGTTAATTGATTGGCGGATCGCTGTCTGAGGGGAACAATCCCTCCCCCCACCCCACACAAAAAAATTGGTCACTGAATCCACGACTGTTTGTGGGACGCTGCCGTGCGCGTTTGGCTACTGCGTTTCGCCCACAAGAATACACAGTCAATCCACTTTACGATGCATTCTGTGAAGCGCTTTGAGGCGTCTCAACGACTTGAATAAGGTCTACATCAAATGCACGAATGATATCACAGGGCGCAGCTGATGGAATGTTTATGAATACATAAATAAATGCGACCGGAACGATGACAACATGATGAATTAAGTGGTAGTGACAAGTTAAGCCAGAGTCGAGTTATCAGGAGTTTCCTGAATTCTCATTAAAATTACACCCTTGCCTTCAGCTGCCTGCGTTTGCTTCAAAGACACGCCCCAAAGTCCAAATCATCACCAGCTAATTGTCTCTTTAATTGTGCTGACAGTAATTGTTTTAAAAAATATATATAATTTGTTAATTATCCCTTGAGAGCTATCACTCAGTCATCAGGGCAGAGCGTTGGCATTATCTGAGTCAGGTTGGTATGGTTGACTGACTGATTGCAAATTATAACACATACAAACAGACCCTATCATCTCAGTAAAGGGCGTTCAAAGCCTATTCTTGATTGAATCAGTCGTTTTTGAAACGTAACGAATGCACAAAGTCATAGGTCGTAACTTTACGTCCGATGCATTTAAATCATGTCAACGATTGATTGGGTAACTGCCAGGTTGACATTGTCAATCTGTCCGTTGGATTGGATTTGAGGCTCCACAGATCTATTTATCAAGGCCTAGCGCTCAATAGGCATCAGAAATAAAAGGTTGGCTATTAATTTATTGATATGTAGCGTGGCTCCAAGCAATATTACAAAAAATTAGTTATACCTAGACTCACCACTAGATGTCTGTAGCCCACCATGAACTGGATGTTTCTACTATTTAGTCCATTATCTTTGCACAACCCCCCCCTTCCCCATCACCAGGACAGTCTATCTTCAATTAAATCTTATTTAAGATGAAATCAGAGGGGAGAAAGGAACGGGGAAATAGGAAAAAAAACAGAACCTGGCTGTAATTTTTCTCTGCTCTCCAATTCCAATTAATTGCAGAGTTGAATATGTGTGTGTGCTGTGTGTGTGTGTGTGTGTGTGTATATATGCCGTGTTTGTATGTGTGTGTGTGCTGTGTGTGTGCGTGTATGTGCTGTGTTTGTGTGGGGATAACTCCCATTCCAAGGCATGGGTTACATTTCCCTAAACCCATTTAAGACACTGTGATGTAATGGGTTAATCTCCTATTATCTCTCTTGCAAAGTTCTGGACGACACTGCACTTGGGTTAACAACATTGGTACTTTATTCAGGGTCCAATACCCTGAGCTAACTTCGGCCAAAGCCCTGACATGTAGGATGGTCCGAGGCCATTGAGCAGCGGGAAAGCTTACCAGACAGCGACATCAATGGCCAAGCTATGTGGTTTTAACTGGTTAGACCCCAGCGGTTGCCCCCAACGCACTCTCTGGGCTCCCCCAAGCCTTGGTTCTCACCAACCTGCACCGAATACTCAGTTTGGTTTGGAGGCTCTTAAGCACGGTGGTGGGTTTCGGTGTGCGTCAGACACCCGGCTGGGCAAAAGAAATACTTTGACCGGTTCGGGTCTTGAGCAGTTTAAAAGGTGCGGTTTGCAAGCGAATTAATGCGAGGACAAAATGGTGCTTTTGTTAACCTACGGAACAGGTCTGAATGATTTCGGTTTATATATAGGGACGTGATGGTGTGTGTGTGTGGTGGGGGAGAAACGAATCGTTAAGAGAGAGGTCAGAAAGAGAGGGTGAGTGGGGAAAATGCAACACACAATCGGGTGCAAAAACATCACTCGATTTAACTCGCAAATTTCACACGGCGCCTTTCACTGGGAATTAAACTAAATGCCCTAATGCGGGAGTTTTGCCACATAAAAATTGATTCGGAATGATTGTGGATGTTCGGTAGGGAAATAGTGTGGAGAAAACACACAACAAACATAAACAGATTGGCCCCAATCATTCAACACAGACACACACACAAAAAGTCTCTTTCCTCTTATCCCATCAGAGTGGTTGTAGCCTTCTGATGAGTTTTCTATCTATTTTTTTCTTCTTCCCTTTAAATCCGAGGAGATTTAAAGCTGCCAGAAAGAGTAGGATTAGATTTTTTTTTTAAAAAAGGCTCCTGTTAAACTCTCCTCTGCTCTGAGAGAATGGTTGGGGGTGGGAAGGAAAAGGGGATTCACCCCCTCCCCACAAACCCCCCACTTATAATGTAAACTTGCTGTGTTAGTGGGTTCCTAGAGAATGCAATCAGACACTAATCACTTGTCAGACACAAGTAACAGGAGGGAACTGGGCTGTGGAAGGGACATCAAATCCATCCATCAGCTCTCCCTCTCTCTTCCCTCCTTGCCCACCCCCCTCTCTCTCTCTCTCTCCCCCCTTCTCCCCCCCCCCACCCCTTCTTTCCATCCATTCCTCCCTCCCTCCATCTCTCTCTCTCTCCTCCACATCTCTCTTCTCTGCCTAATGCAGATCTCTCCTCAAAGCTTTTCAATCGAACCACGTTCAATCTGACTCAGATCTGGGGGGGGGGGGAGAAGAAGAGGAGGAGAAGGATGGAGGAGGAGGAGGAGGATGGAGGTTAGAGGCAGAGCCAGAGAGAGATGGTGTTTTCATGTCTTGTGAGGACCATATAAAGAATATATTTAAAGCCAATATATATATATGTATGTGTGTGTGTGTGGGAGAGGAGGTCAGGCAAATTCATTTATAATAGAAGAAATATATCTTCCCACCTCTTATTTTTTTCTCTCTTTCTCTCCCTCTCTCTTCCCCTCTTCCCACAAGAGCAGAATTCCTAACCTCAGCTGTGAAACGTTGGATTGTTAACTGCAATGATTGGGTGGAGTTCAATAGGGAGGCGTCGACGTTTGAGCATCTTTATGTATGTGTATGTGTGTGTGTTTGGTACAATTTTTTTGCTCTCTCTCTCTCCTCTCCATCACTGTTTGAGTGTGTGAGTCTCTTTTCAGTGGCAGGATTGACAGAGCTATAGAGAGAGCCAGAGAGAGAAGGAGAGCTGGAGAGAGAAAAGGAGAGCTGGAGAGAGAAAAGGAGAGCTGGAGAGATAGAAGGAGAGCTAGAGAGAGAAAAGGAGAGCTAGAGAGAGAAAAGGAGAGCTGGAGAGAGAGAGGAGAGCTAGAGAGAGAGAGGAGAGCTAGAGAGAGAGGAGAGCTAGAGAGAGAGAGGAGAGCTAGAGAGAGAGGAGAGCTAGAGAGAGAGGAGAGCTAGAGAGAGAAAAGGAGAGCTAGAGAGAGAGGAGAAGGAGAGCTGGAGAGAGAGAGGAGAAGGAGAGCTGGAGAGAGAGAAGGAGAGAGAGGAGAAGGAGAGCTGGAGAGAGAGAAGGAGAGCTAGAGAGAGAGGAGAGAGGAGAGAGATAGGAGAGCTATATAGATAGATAGAGAGAGACTGTGCATTGACTAAGCTGCCTTGGACCAGACAGACAGACAGACAGACTGTCTGCAGAGGAGAGAGGGACAGACAGACAGACAGACAGAGAGGGGGTGGTGGGGGAGACACAGGGACCTGTGATCATCACCCCCGGGTGAGGTGCTCCTCAAGCGGACAAGAGGTCCACTCTGGAGCCGATGGACTACAGAACGGTGGAAGGGAAGAAAAAGATGTGATGGGGAATCCACTGATGGATCACCTGTGTGAGAGGGACAGGTCAACTTTCGGTGGGATTTCTGCAGCCCCCAAGAACCCTGAGGATTTTTTTTCTCTCTCTTTAATTGTTTTTGGGTGAAAAACACTGAAAAATTATATTTTACGATATAGATTTTTTTTTCTCTGGGGGGTGTCTCTGTCTGTCTGTGTGTGTCTGTGTGTCTGTGTGTGCGTTAAACAAATTATAATTGTTATTCCCAGGACAAGAGGAGAGGAAGGAGGTTGTTTTAAAGCCTGTTGCCAGATTATTGATGATGATGTTAAATAATGGTAGGTTTTTGCCTCTTGTTCCTCTGATGCCCTAAATAAAAGAGAGATAGAAAGAGGGAAAAAAGAGAGAGAAAGAGAAAAGGAGAGATAGAAAGAGAAAAAGAGAGATAGAAAGAGAGTAAGAGGTGCCTTTTTATTAATACATATATATATATAGAGAGAGAGAAACTTCAGTTGGAATAAGATTGGCTGAGGATGATCTGTCCAGGTAGGGCAACCCATGCCTTATGGAGGAGATTGGTTTGGTGGGGAACATTGCTGTGTGGATTGAGTTCGTCTCAAGAACCTTACACGCCTCACTCCATCCGGATAGAGGGAGACCTGACCTTGGGTGGCCTTTTCCCAGTCCATGCCCGAGGCCCGAAGGGAGTTCCTTGCGGGGACCTCAAGAAGGAGAAGGGGATCCACAGGTTGGAAGCGATGCTCTACGCTCTGGACCAGATCAACAGCGACCCCGAACTTCTGCCCAACGTGACTCTGGGAGCTCGCATCCTTGACACTTGCTCCAAGGATATCTACGCTTTGGAGCAGTCCCTGACCTTTGTCCAGACCCACATTGACAAGGACACCACTGACGTGAGGTGCACCAACGGGGAGCCACCCATCTTTGTCAAGCAGGAGAGGATCATTGGCGTGGTGGGAGCCTCTTCCAGCTCCGTGTCCATCATGGTGGCCAAGATCCTCAGGCTCTTCAAGGTAAGAGTCAGTCATTTTCCATCTTTGAAGCGCTTCTGAGACATTTCGAACACATGATGAGGCGCTACATCGAATGCAAGGGTCAGTATCAGTTACCCACCACTTGTAGTTGCCCATCACTAATGGGTAACCAATGACTAATAGTCACCCATAAGTAGTGGGTGCCCATCATCAGGAATTACATAGCTCTAGTGGGTACCCTTGACTAGTGGGTACCCCAGCACGAGTTACACATCACTGGTGGGTGCCCATGACCCAGTACTGGGTAGCCAACATTGCCCGAGCAATTGGCTTGAGCTCTGCTTGGACGCTGGCAGAGTTGATGGACAGTCAAACAGGTGGATGGTGCCGGGCACTGACTGGGGAACATGGCTGAGTGAGTTAGTGTGTGTGTGTGTGAGTGTATGTCTTAGTGATTGAATGAATGACTGAATGAATGACCTGATGTTTCTTGCAGTGACTTCCACCTCTCTGCGACTCCAAACCATTCCCTCCTGGACCACAGCCATTAACCCCTGACTGCACCGTTCACCTTGGAGGTACTCTGTATGGGTCTGGGTGTGAATTTCCTTCCCCACATGCACTCACACACCTCTAGCCCAGGGTTAGATTGCGACGTTTCGGATGATTTGGAAATCATTCCCCCTCGTCCATCTGAGCTAAAAAGGCAATGAATGAGAATTGGAGAAGGGGATGGGAAGGAGGAAATAGAGAGAGAGAAAGAGAGAGAAAATGCCAACACAGGACAGAGAAGATGGGAGAACTCCCAAAGGCAGATGGTATTTGATGGACTGCATTTTTTTTTAATATAATGTACTTTTATTTTTTTTGGGTGGTGGTGGGGTGGGTGGTGGTGGGGGGGAGAGAGAGAGAGGGGGGTTGGGGGTATTTTTATACCTTGCTATTCCTGATGCAAACATTATTAATCGAGAGAGAGGGAGAGAAAGCGGGAGAGGAAGGATGCTCTCTGTACGTGCTCATTGGGTTACAGACAGAAACACAGGCAGCAGACGGTTATTATCATCAGCTAAGTCGCCTTTCGGGGCAGATTTGCAAAGGACTGGAAATGTATTTAATCCCTCTACAAGAAGAAAGATTCCTCTGCGATACTGAGGCAGGGAATGAGACCGTTATTTTTTTGGGGGGAGGGGGGGGCGAGGCGAGAATATCAGGTGCAAAGGGGTAAAATTCCCACTGAAACAGACGAGGGAGATGGGATTGCAGTTGCAATGAAATCATACTCACTGATCAGGCACAATGTGGTGTGTGTTGGGCTGTGAGCAAAATGAATCACCGGCTGGCCGCTTGCTGTCTTTGGAAAATGTCACCGGCTCCCAACGTTGTAGTGAAAATAACAGTAATAATAATAATTCATAACGATAATCCTTGCGTTTGACCCAGCGCCTCATCGCGTCTTCGAGACGCCTCCAAGCGCTTCGCGGAATAGACTGCAAAGCGAATTGACTCTTGTGTTTTCGTGGGCGAGACACGGCAGCCGGTTGGTTCGGTGCACTGTGGAGGAAAAGCTTCCATCTCTGGACCCGTTGTTTCCGCCCCCTTTTTAATTCATCAACCAGTGATTATTTTGTGTTGCTGTTGTTATTATTATTGTTGTTGTGACTCATCAAAAATAATAGTAGTGGCTGGAAGGTGTGTGGGGGGGGGGGGGAGTGAGAGAGAGAGAGAGAGAGAGAGAGAGAAGGGGGGACATGGCAGCTGGGTTACGCACTCTATTTGTGTGTTTATGTAAGTGAGAAAAAGACACAGAGAGGGGTTAAGTAACATACAAGGCTACAGATCATGTGTAAAATTATTAATGTGCAGATTCACAAGTTGTGTCAAGGCCAGACTGTTGAATTGGTGTCATACTCACCCGCCCCACACCATTCCTCTCTCTCTCTCTCTCTCTAAGGTGTTGTGTTCACGCTGTGAAGGATAAACGAGTGAAAAGTGCAGAGATCACCTATGAGAGAGAGAAAGAGGGGGTGGGGGGGGGGGGGGTCACGTCATTTGTTATAAATCCTAAATTCACCCTTTTGTGGGGGGGGAGAGAGGGAGAGAGATTGAGGGAGCGATAATAATCTTTGTTGGCGGGGGGTGGGTGTGTGATGGATAATCACTACAACTTGCGTTTAGATCTGCAGTGGGTTGGGGAGTGAGCAAGTTGGAGAGGTCGGGAGGTGCCAAGGCATGAAGGGATTTGTAGATGAATGAGAGGAACTTGAAATCGATCCGTTCTGTGATGTGGAGCCCGGCGAGGACTGGTGTGATGGGGGTGTGGAGTTTAAAGGATGGTGATGGTCGCTTGGTGGGGGTAATGGATGGTGATGTCTTTTGGTCGGGGAGTAATGGATGGTGGTGAAGGGTAGTTGATTGGGGGAACAAATCCACACGCGCAGGTCCCTAACGCTGGTGGCAGAAAGTGAGTAAAATGAAAAGGACCATATTTTACCGCAATCATCAGGGTTCGATAATAGCTAGCGGCAACTTCTGCTCATCTCCAGATGGTGAATATAATTCTGGTTCCTGCACAGTTATTATTAAATACAGGGCTGGGCAGCAGCGGCACATATGGAGATATCTGTCGGCGAGGATTTCACATCTATATCATAGTGTGTGAGCGAGTGTTTTAACTTTAACTTGGCACCTGGTTACCCTATATATATATATATGTGTGTGTGAGACAGGGACAGCACAACACAGGTTAAACTGTATCACTCGGGTTCTGAATCCTGCCTACAGATATTGCTTCAATATCTATCATATATTATACATAAATATTTATAAAAAATCTAGTGATTTTTGCCTTTTTGCCGCAGTTCTCAATCTAAATGCATTGCCCACAGGGACGTTGCTGAGATGTGGGATTGTCAGGCAGTGCTTTTGGGGGGAATTCAGTGTAAATAGTGGGTGGGTGTGGGGGGCGGAGGGGGCGAAATGAGCATGGATCCCAGCGCTCAGGGGGTTAAACCCATCTGTACATACAGTAGATATGTCATCCCACCATCCACTCATTGCCTGTTGCTTCTGCTGAATCCCCATCACAATTAGCCCAGTGATCTGGATGGTGATGTTGCTCTCATGTCCAGTCTCTCTCTCTCACCCCCACCCCCCCCCCCACACACACACACACACAATACACACCTTCATCCCTGGAGAATGTAATTCACCAGCAAAGCTTATTCATGTAAAGTTTTTTTTTTTCTCTCTCCTCTGCCTGGCCACCGGCAGATGGAAATCAATTGAATGCTCGTTCTTTTTTTATTTATTCATTTTTCTCGATTTCTTCCTCATCACATTCGTTGATCCGACTGACACGATTTTCTCTTGTTCTGTCTTATTTTTCTCTCTCCGGCTCTCTCTCTCTCTCTCTCTCTTTCTCTGACTGTCTCCGTACTTGCCTTTTTTTTTGTCTTAAACCTCTGCTGCTGTTTGATCTGCCGTCTCCACTGGGATGGTTTGCGAAAGAGGAACGGGCAAGAGATTTTAAGCACATCTGCTGCTGTTTCTTTTAACCTCTCTCCCCCTTCCCACCCCCACTCCCCCTTCACACCTGGCTGAGTTTTCGCTGGAACAAAAAAAACACACTCCAGCAATCCGAAAGAGGTCCTATTGATTTGACTGAGTTACTTATTTATTTGTTTGCTTCAACATTTCTCGAAGCATCAACTTGAATCTCCCTGGGATTTGGTGCAGTGTTGCCCGGTATATTGCTTCTGATGAGGATTTGATCCTATCCTCTTTCTGTCTTGAAGTGTCAGCAGATGAAACCAAATGCCTAAGCAACACACAAATAGTAATAATCCTTGCATTTGATATAATGCCCTATCCCTTGTCGTGGAATCCTGCAGCTCAGCGGTTAGAGCATTCGCCTCGCAAGCGAGAGACTTGGGTTCGATTCCCGGCCAGGGCAAAATGTTGGGCGAGTTTCCTTACTCCCCACCCCTGATAATAATCCCTCAAGAAAAGATAACTAAATAAAAGCAAATAATAATAATTTGGTCACTTCAGTCCGCGACCGTTGTGGGGACGCTGCTGTGCGCAATCGGCTGCCGGGTTTCGCCCACGACTCTTTCAGTCGATTCACTTCATAGTGTATCTTGTCAAGACGTGAAGAGCGCTACCTCAAGCGCAAGGATGATTATCGCGTCGTTGAGGCATCTCAAAGGGCTTCACAGAATATATTGTAACTTGTGGGTGAAACAGCTTGCATTTATACAGCGCCCTGCACCCAGGATAGCCTCTCGGAACGCTGCATGGTGGTGGGGGTTAGACGCCGAGCAAGTGAGAGGGGTGACCGTAGGCGTAATGAAAGAGGTAGATAGTAAGGTGGGGTTTGAAAAGGGGAGCAAGGCGGAGGGAGTTCCAGAGGGTCAGGGGGGTAGTGGATGAATTCCCGAGGTGGACGGAAGGGTGGAGGGGTCACACGCGCGTAGCAGGCCTGTGTTAACGTCTCAAAGTGCGTCAGGGGATGTACTGCACAGTGTAGTGACTGTGCATTTTGTATTCTTTTTGTATAGAGAGAGAGGGTGTGCATGCCATTCCAACGACTTTACCTCTGCACTGTTTGTGTGTGGGTGGGATGCATGGAATGGGATTCTCGGTTTGGTTTGGAGACTCTTGAGCAACGGTGACGGGTTTCCGCGTGAGTCAGACGCCCCCCCCCCGCCCCCCCCCCGGGCAAAAGAAAAAGCGTATTTTGTAGGCGTACCTCCTGTGCGTCCGCGTGTGTGCGGAAATAGCACAGGTTTAGGCCTCGGGTTTGTTAACATAACGTAATTCCTGCTTTTCCTCTCTCCTCTTGGCTCCAGCTCACCCCACCCGCCCACCCCCATTTCACTCCTCCTCCCACATCATAACTGCCAAAGAGTGACTCGCATCGAGTCAAATCTCTGGGGGTCTAATTTGTGAGACTCTCAAAGCCAACGATGTGTCACAGTGCACACTTTAGAATTCCCCTCCTGGATTGGGAATCAGCGATGAAATGCTTGAGACAGGCA